TTCATGTTTTTCTTGAAATTACTGTGCTAAAATGATAGAAACATATTTTTTACCAGATCCAATTCCTTTTTTGATAGATTATTATTGTCTGCCTTTTATTACCTTTTGAAATATTTCATAAACTTTAATCCCGAAAAGTTTTTGGTTTCTCGGAATTGGTAGTACCAACTTGATACCACGTGATATTTTTATCGATTTTGATTGGTTACTCCTTAAGTTTTAAGTCTTAAGAAAAATGCTGCATGAACGCCACATTTTTTTCGCTTAATTTTTAATTCTTAAATCTTAAATGTTAAGTTTTAAGTTTTAAGTCTGCATAAACCCAACTTATATATATACCATGTTAAACAATTGATATTGTACTACAGTTAATTTTTTTTATCTGGACTCGTGTTTTTTTGTTAGGTTGATGGCTTATGCCAGCTTGACTTAGTATTTAAAATGGTACTTCTGCTAAAGAATTTAATTAAATACTTTGACACTGTCAAATTGACAATAATATTTACTATTGATAATTTACTAGTCAATTATAAATAAAAAGATAATTATGACAAAAATAATAGCAACGAATTCGAATGTAAAAGCCCTTTTGAGGGCAAAATTTCATTTTAATGAAATTATCCCAAATGCCACAATGGAAGAAAAAGTACATCGCCTTATGGACATTTTTGGAATAAAAAAGTAAAGAAATTGGTTTTATAAATATTGCATCACACATTATTTTCACATTATTCACCATTGGACAACATTTACGTTCACAAAAAATTTTAATTTCTTTTATATAAATTCTTTTCAAAGCGAAGATTATTATCCGCTAGGAATACTTTCTCTTCTGGGCCGTAAAGCAACCTATATTTAACTACTTTTTTATATGATTTTAATCATCCAAGCACCACCAAAGCCAAATTAATTGCATTTTTAACTACAAATTTCGACAACTCAACTTGACAACTGCACAATGTAACCTACAATAATTTATACGAGTACATAACCACTATTAGATTTATAACTAGCTATGCCAGGTCAATTCTGGGTTCTCTCGTAAATTTTTTGTAAATTCGTAAATCTATAGCTTACGATGATCTGTAACTATAATGCTTATAGAATCGTAAAAGTGGCAATTCTGGGATGTTATCTGTAAATGTATAATTTAAAGTAGTATAAACGAACTACTGTAACTTCACGCCTATTTACTTACGATCAAACATAACCTATATTTTTATATGTATTATTTGGTTTATCTACAGTTTATCGGTTTTCATGTATGTATCAGCATATAATATAATACAAAAAGTAAGAAATTCTGGGTTCTCTCGTAAAATTTCTGTAAATTCGTAAATCTATAGCTTACGATGATCTTTAACTATAATGCTTATAGAATTGTAAAAGTGGCAATTCTGGGATGTTATCTGTAAATGTCCAATTTAAAGTAGTATAAACGAACTACTGCAACTTCACGCCTATTTACTTACGATCAGACATAACCTATATTTTTATATGTATTATTTGGTTTATCCACAGTTTATCGGTTTTCATTTATGTATCAGCATATAATATAATACAAAAAGTAAGAAATTTAAACTGGTTGAGGAATAAAATGAGGTAAGATAATTTTACATTTAAAAGAACATATAATATATAATGAATAAAATTGTTAGTGCGTTGAGTGAAGAAGTCAATCAATGGTTAGTGGTAACGCAAAAGGAACAAAGACAAAAAGATAAAAAACACCACTCCTCAACAGTTCAACTATATTTGGATGCAATGGATGGAGATTATCCATTGGGCCAACCATGGCAGGATAAATTTGAACAAGGAGCAGAAAATCAAAAAAACATTTTAAGCTTATTAAAAACTATTTAGAAAATTATATAAGGCTGAAAGAAGAACAATTAGGATTTGAAATGAAAAAAAATAAATTTTTAAATCCAAATTTTGAAATTTGACCTATTAATTTTTGACTAATTAGAATATTTATTTATTTTGTTGTTTATTTCTTTTTTGACCGAGTAGGCTGTGGTTTATTTTTTTAAGAATATTATTTTATTTTATTTTCATAGGTAAAATAAAAATACCTATAAAGTTTTTGTATTAATACAATTGTTTTATTAAGTCAAAATTGAAATTATTTCTAATGTAGTTAGCCCAGGCTGCTTGTCCCAATTGATAAATATTACCATTATCATATCCACATTGACATTATTAAAAATATTCATGTTTTTAATCTTTAAAATAGCTTTACATAACCTAACAAAAACAAACTGTAAGTAGCAACGATTGGGAAACACCCGATCGTAAATATTTACGATTCTATAAGATTTTCTGTAAGCTACAGGAAGCGCAGAATTGCAAATTGTCTATAAGCTTATAAAAAGTTACAGATTTGCTTATAGATGCTTACAGATGTGCGCAGAATTGACCTATTAGTTTGTTTTAATCAATGCGACCAACTTGACAACTGTATTTACCAACCAAAACCCTAAATTTTCAACGTTGCCGCAGTCCAGAAAAAAAAATTAACTTTACCAAAAGATTTTTTACATATTGTATATAGGCAATGATTCAATCTTAGTAATAAAAAAATAACATTCGCAAACCAGACTTAAAAAAACTTTAAATATGTTGACCAGCAAAATCAAACGACAAAAAAACCAAAGCTAATGCTGTCCTTTCGCAATTATTGTGCACTGACTGGCAACGTTTGGGAAAATAAAAGAAATAATCGCCTTTGTCTCCATTCATTGATTCCGATAAGAGAGATATTTCATTCAAAGTAAATCCTATATAATGGCTTGTGAGACAAGAAAAACTAGAAGCAAGGCACTGCAAATGCTGAAAAGTTAAAGAACCGTGTCGTCTGCAAAAACGAGCATTTTAAGTTGTCTATGTCAAAAATTGTTTACCATTTTTGATTGGATTGAAACGTTTTTATTCGTAAAATGCTTCTTCAAAAAAAAAGTCAGGTATTCATATATCTTGAACCCCGACAAAGTATTATAGTATATAAACTTAATATTATTAAGTATTAAGTACAGTAAGGGAGGATATTGGTAAATTCCTTACTGTTCGGGATGCTTATACTTTTTTTGCCTATTTTGATGCTACTAAGAGTTCTCAGACGTGTTTCATTGGTTCGTTTTATAATATAGACATTTGATACAAATTTTTATTTTGGGCACTTTTATGTCAAAAAACGTTATTATTTTTTAATATAAATATGTATCTAAAGGAAAATGACGTTTTGTGGATTATAGGCAAAAACTGAACAACAATAGAGTTTTGCAAAGAATGATGGTCTGATGGTGCAAGGTTCTGGTTATACGGAGTATGCGTTAAAACTTTTCAGTCAAGGTCTTTCACTTTTTATAATAAACATATTAAATTTAGGTCCATTAAATTTTGAATTTATTATCATGTGGCACCAAAGCATATGGCACGCTGTTTTAACATTTATTAAATAATTTTTTAATTTAAAATGTTGGTTTAAAATTTTAAGTTAAGAAAATTTACTAAGTAACATGTATTAAACAATAATATTTTCAATTAATTTTTTCAAAAAATTTTCAACCACCATTTTTTATTAAAAATAATTTCTCAAGTATAATTTATTTGGTCAGAATTTTGTAAATCTTAAATGAATATTTTATAAAATTATTTAAATTAAATTGGTAAATTTTTCAGTATTTAAAAATAGTATTAAGACATTTAAAATAAAAACACATATGTATGTACCTATGTATAAAACATTTTCTACCAAAATAATTTAAAAAGTTATTTTTTCTACTCCCACCTTTAAAACGCCTTTTATCGTACATGTTTCCATGACACTAAGTGACCTTTTAAATACACATTGACAAGTTGTGGTTTATGGCGCTTTAGTCACGGGCTGAAGTTAGCAACAGGTTTTTAGTCACGGGCTGAAGTTAGTTTTAAGTTAGTTGACAGTTGTTAAATGTCATACAATCGTTAAAATAAAGTGCCTTTCTTGTAAAATAATACTTAATGTGAAAATTATTTTATTATCTCAATACAAAAATACAAAAGTATTAAATAATTTCTCAACGCGAATATTTGAAAAGTTTATATGAACATTATACTGACCTTTCAATTTCGCCGGCAGTAAAATATATCTTAAATTCGGGCACGGACTCCACTGTAAAGTCCTCATAAAATATTTTCTTTACTTTCACTGTGAAAAACTGACAATTTTCAAGAAAATCGTTTCGATTTATAACCTTTATAATCTGTGTTTATAAAATTGAAAAATGTGACATTTGACGGTGACACACAGATTCCCCTATTGTTTCATAGATGGCGCTCTGTACAAATTTTTGATTTAAATCATTTTAAGATAATAATAAGTATTTGTCGTAGAAAAAGTATATATAGTATGCACCTCGTTTATAAACTTTTCTATACACTCATTAATTTAAGCACTCGCTCGCAAGCTCGCTCGTGCCTAAATTAAATTCGTGTATAAAATGGCGTTTATCAAACTTGATACATAATATACTATTTTAAACGTATTTATAATCAAATATTTTAAATATAAAATACAACTGTAAAAGTTTAAGTTTAAAAATATTGATTTTTAAAATTATAGTTTTAATATTTTATTCTACAAAATTTTCGGTTGAAATTTGTAAAGAGTCATTTAAATAAAAGTCAATAAATTTTAATACAAAAGATCTTACATTTAAATATTAGTTTGAAATTTTAAAGTGGTAATTTTTGAATGCATACACTGAAAAAAAAGGTGCCCTTAAACTAAAGTAGTCAACTTTTTTAAAAATATTTATTAGCAACAAAAAACAATATTTTAGCATAACAGAGTATATATGGCTAAAAGAAAACGAAAACGGGTTCTTCATTTTAATACGGTCATCACCATAACACCACATGTAATTTTTGTATTGAATCGTGATAAAAGAAAATATTGAAATTTTTTTTTTATTTTTTACGGGATTGTTCACATTTATATTTCTTATTTCTTGTTGCAGGTTTTAACTGGAAACAGCAATACTTACCTTGTAGTAAGGCAACGCCTAGAACTGCCTTTTGTAGCTAGCAAAGTCAGGTTTATACCATACAGCGAACATCCAAGAACAGTTTGCATGAGGGTGGAACTATATGGGTGCGCATGGGAACGTAAGTATTAAAAAAAATCTATATTAAAAAATCTCCAATTGTCACCTTGTCCAAATAACTTTCAAATCAAATAAAATATCGATTAGCTTTAATCATAAAGGATCTCTAATTCCTTCCAAATGTCGACTATTTAATAAACCAAGATGCCATTACAAATAAACCATCAATTCAATGTTTATATAAAATTATAATCAAATAACGAATGAATCTAATTAATTAATAATTTACACAAACATAAAAGAACATAATCCATCCAATCAGCGTTGCCATGGCAACAGAGCGCAATTATGACTATATTAATTTCGAAACGAATGGTAAACAATTTAGTATTTAACCAATAAGGTTAATAATAATAATTTAATTTGCGACAAAATGTAACAGAATTAATTATTATTATTGATTTCCAGCTGGATGGAGCGTCCCATGAATTTAATTGTTTGTTTGTAAAAATATTACAATTTAATTATCAACATACATTTTTTGAGATTACAAGAATACTAACTTTTAGTATCTAAATACGCCAAAAAGAAATTCTCCTTTGTGAAACGAAGTTTTTGTTTAAATTTGATATAATTTGTTAAAGTGGGTACATGCTGCTTTAAAATTAAATAAAATTTGTTACGCTCATAAAATAGCTCTACTAGAAGTATTTGTTTAACAAGAAATATAAGCTTTTCATTGTGTTCCCTGAAAATACCATTGTTCGAAACAAAACCGTTTTTTAAAAGCATGTTTTCCAGCCATTGCGAAAGAAAATTAAATAGCTACACATATGCGAATATTTTCAACAAAAGTTACAAAGAGTAAATGTTTATTTGGTTCTTTTTTTAATTACCATCTGTTTTACAAGTAATTCCTTTAAACACAATTGAATAGGTCAATGCAGAAACTGAATATGTCCACTTTTTAGGGATATTGAGTTAAACATGGATTTACTATAAGTAAAGGGTGCCCGATCGAATGGCGTAGAAATTTCACATGTCACGGTAATCTAGATTATACAAAGGCGTTATTATATAGTAGAGAAACTGAATATGTCCAGAACATGTCCACTTTCTGTTCAGTTTTTCTTATTTATCTCAAAACTAGATAGGTAGGACATATTCAGTTTCTGCATTGACGTATTCAATTGTTTGTAGCTATTGCCAACCGAATAAATTTCTATTTGATTACAAAGATAAACAGATTTTTAGTAAAATAACTCAAACCCTTCTCACCCAAATTTAGGCCCCATAACTAATTTATTTTCGGGACCTATACACTCTATTAAAAGATTGCACTTCTTAAAAAAAACCTTCCAAGTTTTTTGTGTACTATGCTCCACACCTCAAAGTCCCACCACGTGACCACGTACGCAACGCAGTCTTTTGAAAATTTGGCATTTAAGGCTTTTCAGGTTATGTATCTGTCAAAGTATAGGCAACGAAAGAAATAATATTATGTTTAGGCGTTAAAAATGTATAAATCTTTCTAACATTAGAATAACAATTGATGGTTTAAGAATTTAAGAATATAAATACTGCATTTAATGAAATTCTAAAGTGTATGGTGCCAAATAAGTAATATTTTTGTGCATTTGGTCCAAATATCTGGTTTTCTCTATAAAATAATTTTAACTAAACCGCATTTATTTAAAAAAATCTGGCTTCTCTATTATGGAATAAGAATATCTGTATTAAAGGTAGGTTAATATATTATAACAAAAATATCATCTAATTTTGTAATTTTAAGGTTAAAAAAAATTATTTTGACCAAAATAAATAAGTATTTTGGATTATTTAAAAGACTGTATAATATGGTATTTAAAAATGTGGTAGTTTTTCGTATCCAGCTTAAAGTGTACCTACATAAAGCTTCGACTGAATTTGATCTACATCAAAAAACATTATAACTTTAAAAATTTTAATAAATCACATGTCATGGGAGTATTAAATATTTTCACATTGCAAGTTTCTCTAAAAATTGTTTGTTTTCTTATAATCTAACTTAAAGTAAGTATGCCGAGAGGTATGCACAAGTTTTGTCAGAAGTATAAAAGCTTCAATTTAATTTGAACTATATTCAACAATTATTTAGTATACCTATATTTATTTATGACCATATTAACACACTCTTTCAAATAATCCACTTATTTATTTTGGTCAAAATAGATTTTTCTAACCTTAAAATTAGATGATATTTTTTGTTTTAATACATTAACCTATCTTTAATACAGATATTCTTATTTCATAATAGAGAAGTTAGATTTTTTTTAATAAATGCTGTTTAGTTAAAACTATTTTATGGAGAAATGTAGACCCAATGCACAAAAATATCACTTATATTGCACCTTACACTTTGGAATTTCATTAAATGCAGTATTTATATTCCTAAATTCTTAAACCAAGCATTGTTATTGTGATACTATAAAGATTTATTAACTTTTAACGCTTAAACATAAGAGGTAACACTATAAATATTATTTCTTTCATTGACTATACTTTGACAGATACATAACCTGAAAAGCCTTAAATGCCAAATTTTCAAAAGACTGCGTTCCGTAAGTGGTCACGTGGTGGGACTTTGAGGTGTGGAGCATAGTACATTCTTCGGAGATTTGGCAAAATTTCAGTAGTGGCGTCTGGCATAAAAAAACCCTGAAGAAAAAGCGAACTCTTTCGGCAATATTCTAAACCTTAGATAGGCAACCCATTATTTCTCAATGTGTATTACACATTGTGTAATCCGGGTTGCTACTTAAATTTGCGGTTGGTAAATATAAAGCATAAACAGCAATTGTTAAGTTAAGAAATGGGACCCTAAACTTAATCCCCAGTGGTCTCCCCCTCATGTGGGGGTTTTTAATAGATAGGAATAGGTAATATGGTAAAGTCTCATTTAATGGAGGTGTCCTACATTTCATCTTAAATAAACTAAATTAGGGAAATTTAATCTTTTTTCATTTTGATACCATGTCATCAATGCATGTATTAAATTTTTATCCAAAAAGGTTCAATTATCCCAATTTTTTTAATACTGCCTTCTACAGTTTATTCACCACCCCTTTTGTAGCTTACACTGTTTAAAATATCTGTGGTATAAAAAGTAATCTTAAAATGGTGTCAAAATCCAACACCAAGTGGTGTTAATATAAACACTATGAATTATGGTTGAAAACGGTGTTTATCTAAAAATATTTGAGAAGTGCATCTACACAGAAAAAAAGAAATAGTTCATTTAACTATATTAATTTAGTATACCCATAAGTATTTATTTAAATAAACTGTTGGAAGGTTAGATTAGTTTGACGGTACTAAACCAGATAGTTATTTTATTTTTGAAGTGAAACCAACCCGCTGTATGGTTCAGTTTACTAAATATGTTGTTGTATGTACCGATCGCGGCAAAGGCGGTGTGGATCACGTGATGTTCTTAAATATCGCCTCTGTTGACTTACATGAAGAGTATATAAGCTCAGGTAGTCCTTTGCTTTGGTGTGACACTACAAGTTGTTCGATACTAAAGAGACCTTAAATAGGTGGAAACAGCTGTCAATGCTTGAAGTATTTTAAGTTGGTGGAACGCACTAAAAACATTATCTCTAGCGAGTTAAAGGTATAATTTTCTGGAATAATACCACTGGTTATATACTAGTAATGCGTTAAGGAACTTCCTGTTTCCTTTTTTTCCTTTTTTTCTGTGTAGTATGATTTAATTTGACCAAAAACACATAATATTTAACACTGAAAAGGAGTTAAATTTACACTATTTTAATATTTGAATTTACTCTGGACCAACGAACCTTATTTAACACCATTTTGGTTTGTATCGATATAGACCATGTATGGTGTTAATTTGGTGTTAAAATTTTGAACAGTTACATCTATGACTTTATACTTTATATTTGGCTATTTTGGCTAATTTTAAATACCATTCATAAATGATGGAATAGACAAAGGCTCCAGTTGTCCTGCGATGCAAACCGTCATTCGTATGCCTGCTGCTGTTTGGGTTTTTATCGCAGACTGGATCTTTTGTAGTTTCGGCGGGCCTAATTAAATATAAACAAAACAATGAGGGCGGTTTTCCATTGTATGATAAAGAGGGCCCCCGATTCGCATCTGTTATGACAAGTTAAATATTCATTTTATCGCGTGGTTTCGTCCTTTTTGCCCGCAAACACTGCCACTGCCTTCTTCCCATTATCCAAACATCTAAGTGTTGTAGCAGTGTGTGTTTGTACGGTTTAATCTGTTTCAATTATTACCAACCTCCTGGAACAAAACCAAATATTTGACGATACAATTGCCTCGGATGACTATTATGTTGGTATTACGTTTAATTATGTTAAACGAAAGATTTCCCAACCAAGAACAGTTTATGTTCATCTAATTATCCAACTGTCCCTATGGGTTATCTTATCCTTATTCAGGACTAAGTTAACATGGATAGAAGCGGCAGTCACGGGTCATCACATAACGTCAAATGCAGATCGGAATTATCTATCTATGATCCTTGCCAAAGGCGATATGGCTCTATGAGCAAAGAGAACGGGAACGGGTCAATGACGGTTCTCCCCTTCGATGCCGCCGCTTTCACGTAACTGCTCGTGCCCCCCGGCCGTCCGTCGACCTCTTTACCTGATCTTTACTGTCTGAATCTCGCATAAAGTGCCTTTATGAAATTTGCCACACTCCATATCTAAGTTCTTGATGACCGTGCTCCAGAGGGTGAATATATCATGTTCGGGATATGATTCTGTTGCAATGGTCGACCTAAAAAGTTTTAATATAATAAATCTTAAAGTTGATAATAATAACCAAAGATTGGATTATAGGCCGTTAAAATTGAAAATTAGGACACATAAATAGGCAATAAAAACCTACATTTTAGGCCGTTTTAGGCCGTAGTGCCCAAAATAGGCCTCAACCGCCTAAAATAGGCGATATGAAATAAAAACAACACGATTGAACATAACATTTATTTACGTACTATCATTAAAAATAAAACCAAAAATGCAT